TCTTGCTGTGGGTTGAGAGCGCTGTTGGCCACTGTTCCGCTGTTCTAGAGAAAGTAATAAAGTAATATTCTGAAGAGTGAGTTTGCTCCGCAGGGTCCCTCCTTTCTCTCCCTCGAATCTAATACATTTCTCCATTCCTCCCGTCGTAAAAACATGGCCTGACTCTCCATCTGCGACACAAAACCAACACAACACCGTGGACTATTTAAAGGTGCACTGCGCAGCTTTTGCGGTGCAGGGTCCGCCACCTGCTTGTCTCCGTGGAGATGTTATTGCTTTGCTTTGAATGTTCCACAGTACGACATTAAACATATACATGTTACCATTTAGTCATTACAGGTGTTTCTATTGATTAAAATACAATCATTCTGGTGACATTTTATTTTAGGATACACTTATTATTATCTAACTACCTGCTAATTACCGTAGTTGTAGATGGTTAGTTTGTCATTAATTAATATTTATTCAGCCCTTATTAATGTCTCATTCCCCAGAACCTTATTCTGCTGTTGGACATTTACAAACACTTTTCTATTAGTCCACTCCTTATCATTGTTTATTAATATGATACTAAGTCATTTCTGTCCATGTCCAGTGTTGGGGAGTAACAGATTACATGTACTGGAGTTACGTAATCAGAGTACAAATTATGAGTAACTGTATTCAGTTACAGTTACTGTTTCAGTGAGTGGTAATTGGATTACAGTTACGTTGTTGAAATAAATGGATTACACGGAGGTATTTTCCTGTTTTCACATTTTGGGCTAAACCAGGACTAAAATCAGAACTAAAACCGGAACTAAAATCAGGACTAAACCAGGACTAAACTAGGACTAAACCAGGTCTAAACCAGGACTAAACAGGACTAAACTAGAACTAAAAACCAGAACTAAAACCAGAACTAAACTAAACCAGACTAAACCACTAGTAAACCAGGTCTAAGGGACTATAATAAACTAGGACTAAACCAGGCTAAACCAGGACTAAACCAGGTCTACTATAATTGTAAACAGTCTAAACAATAACACCTAACAGTAGGTGGACATAATTGAAGGCAGCAGTGATCTTGTACAGAAATAATTTCTCTATCAATAATATTTTTAATATGGTTAAGTAAAGATGGGCTTTTTGTGTCTTTTAGCAGATAAAACATCTGATGTTAAGACCCTCGTCTTTGCTTCTCTACAGCAAACAAAAGTCTGTTCATGGAGACTTTGGCTCAACAGACAATTTGAAGAGAACAAACAAGAATTTTCAGGATGTGGTTGTTACATTCATGTAGTTTTAAAAAGCATGACAATATCAAGTAATCCAAAGTATTCAGATTACATTACTTACTTTAAATAATTTAATGGATTATGTTACAAACTACATTTTGGGGTATGTAATCTGTAATCTGTAGGGGAATACATTTTAAAAGTCACCTTCCCAACACTGTCCATGACTTATGATTCTCATAAGCTTTTGGTAATAAGTGTGTTGTTAAAGTGGTGTTAAGTGGCACAAGAAATGTAGTTTTTACTTATTTGCACTTCATAAATGTATCTTACTCTTATGTAATAAAACACTCTCTATTAGGCGTCCAACCAGCCATGAATTAAGTAAGATAAATTATTAAGATTTAAAGAACCGAACTAAGAAAGTGTAACTTCACCCAAAGAGTTTGGCTCCAGCCAAATGAAGCCAATCTAGAAGTTGCAGCGGCTAATTTGGAGTCGAGATCCAAATTTGGTAATCTGAGAGTGTGTATGGTAGAGCCAGTCAAGAGCCAGGGGGTTGACAGTAATGGTCCATCCCGCCGGCACTGCTGGTTTAGCTGTGAGCGAGTGTTTAGCAAAACTGTCATACAAACCTGTTACTTGTTAAAACCAGCAGGAGTGACCTTGGGAGACGAGTGCAGCTCATTGGTTTGTTATTAATCTTCATATCTGCATTTATGGGCAGTGTTGGGAAGGTTACTTTTAAAATGTATTCCCCTACAGATTACAGATTACATACCCCAAAATGTAGTTTGTAACGTAATCCATTAAAACGTATTGATTTGCGGTAGAGAAGCAAAGACTCGGATATCTTCACAAGTTTTGTTTGCTAAAAGAAAATAAAAAGCCCAGACTTTCCTTAACCGTAATAAAAATATTATTGATAGAAGAGGAGGAGACATGGTTTTAGTCCTGGTTTAGTCCTGGTTTAGACCTGGTTTAGACCTGGTTTAGATCTAGTTTAGACCTGGTTTAGATCTAGTTTAGACCTGGTTTAGATCTAGTTTAGTCCTGGTTTAGTCCAGGTTTAGATCTAGTTTAGTCCTGGTTTAGTCCAGGTTTAGATCTAGTTTAGTCCTGGTTTAGTCCAGGTTTAGATTTAGTTTAGACCTGGTTTTAGTTCTAGTTTAGTCCTTTTTTAGTCCAGGTTTAGATCTAGTTTAGACCTTGTTTTAGTCCTGATTTAGAATTGGTTTTAGACCTGGTTTAGTGTCCGGCAATGAGTGGAATTATGAAAAAAAAAAAAAAAAAAGAGGGATTTAGCCCAAAATGTGAAAACAGGAAAATACCGCTGTGTAACCCATTCATTTCAACAAAGTAACTGTAATCCAATTACCACTCATTCAAACAGTAACTGTAACTGAATACAGTTACTCATAATTTGTACTCTGATTACTTAACTCCAGTACATGTAATCTGTTACTCCCCAACACTGTTTATGGATGACGTCACGTAGATGACACTGGTGTAATTTTTATAATATTTTCAACTAATAAATGAAATAGAAATCAGACAAATTACCAAAAGCAAAGTATCTTCTCTGACAGTGAGGCTTGTTGAGAGTGTGAGAATACATAAACTGCAGATATATTGTGTTTAATAATAGATGAGGCTTCTATAGAGCCGGGAGACGGTGCAGGACCAGCTCTCGGGGCACAACAAAACTCTGTGAGGTGGAGAAGAAATATAAAAATCCAAAAACAGATTATATTTTCTAATATTTAGCATCAGTCTCAGAGTTTCCTCGGTACTCTGTGTTCCAGATTCAAGGGAGATATTTTCAAATCTATCGGCTTTTACATAACATAGCTGCTTACTTATTTGTCTGTGCAAGTTGCTCCTAGATTAAATGTTCTTATAATAATAATATACTTTTATTTATTTTTTCACATGTGAAAATATTAATATTTAGTAAGTGTGATGGTAGTAAAATGAAATAAACAAAAAGAAACTCAGCACTGACACTTCGCAATTAGATTAGTCACAGGCGATATCATTGATTTTGGCTTTCCATTCCGATGGTAGGTTTGCAGATATTGATCCAGTAACAATGGGTTATCAGTTTGATTGATTTTTGTCTGACTAAAATGACACCTATTTCAAACTGAATCTGCTTCTGAATCATAAACAAACTGGACTCTTTTTGAAGTACCGTATTTTTCGGACTATAAGGCGCACTTCAAATCCTTTGATTTTCTCAAAAATCGACGGTGCATCTTATGTATTGATTCTGGTTATGTTTACTGACCTCGAACCAATTTTACATGGTACACGGCGCTCAAAAATCTGTCAAAATGTTTTAGCATGACTTTGGTAAACTACGAAGCCACACCGCTTGATGGATTGTCGGAGCATTATGGCTACTGTAGTCAGGAGCCTCGCGGAGTAAAGAGTATAGTATAGTTCTGCGTCGACTCATCGCACACTGCTGGTGTCGCCTTGTCACCATCATTACAGAAAGAACGCACATATTTCTCTGAGTCTTGTCCTAGTCTAGTCCGACAGAAGCTGACCACATCAACGCACAAGGAGCGAGCTGTTTTTTCAGCACTTATCGTTTATGCAAATTTGGCATGTGTTTGTGTTTAAGTTTTGTTTCTGTAAAACGTAAACAAATGTGCGCAAAACTGCATTAAACATGTATATTTGAGTCCTCGTTGTAGGAAATAAAAAACAAACAAACTTAAATTATCCACCCACATTCACATTCATAATAACCATTCACTAATAAAGGGAGACAACGCCGGGCAAATTACGCCACGATCAGCCCATAGATCATAAGGATCAGTCTCAAGTGTCGTCCATTTGTTTTGCTTAATGCGCCTTATAATCCGGTGCACCTTATGTATGAAAATAGACGAGAGAATTCAACATTATTGATATTGCGCCTTATACTCCGAAAAATACAGTTCTAGATTTCTATGTAACATACTCTCATTGCAAGTGGGAACAAGATCTGCACAGAGATATATCAGATTTCAAATCCCTCCTGGATTTTTTTGATAAATAAAAAATAGGAGTAAGGCTGATGTTGGTTTGCCTGACCAGCCAGTCCCTTCTACATTCTATTTGAATCCAGAAGAGACTGGAACCGAACCACAGAGCGTGAAAAACCTCCGTCCAAATTTTCAATGATCCAACCGCAGCCGCTAATTTGTATCATGTGTCTCTCAAATGCAGAAGACGTCTCCTCCTGGAAATTATTGACATTCAGAGCAAAATATATCACTTATTGATCAAGTAAAAATCCAGTTTCTCAGTCCTTTATGTAAATTTTTCTCATTTTTTTCTGTGTAATCAGCCATGTTTGTTTTTGACACGAACGTAGCATGCTTCTCTCTGATTGGTTAATCCTCCTGTCACTCACGCCCTCAAATCAGGGAGGCAGGACCCAGCTCCAGATCCACTCGTCTTTGTAAAGTTTTTTCAAAGCGTGTGGTTCTGGCTGGTCAGGTAAACTGTTGGCAGAACTGTAGACTGAAAATTTGTTGATTCTTGACAATTCATTTTTCAGAGCTGAAGCCAAAACGACTAAAATTTAGGAACTTTTAATGAAGTTTTAAAAAAAGTCTAGACAGAATTTCTATTAAACTTTGGTGAATTTTAGTGTTAGTACAAACTGATTCTGATTCATTATTTATTTTTATTTTTTTTTATGAGTGGGTTACAGCTTTCTTTGTTTTTATTTCATGAGGTAGATGACAAAATACAATAAATTCAGAAAAAAAATCTAAAATAACTTGAGCGTTACATTGGAATTTATAGGGGTTAAAATCACTGCCAGCAGGTTTATGGAGTGAAATAAGTTATGGTTTTGCTTTCTTGTTTTTTTCGTTACAGTTCCTTCATTAACGTCCCGGAGCATTTCAGATGGTGGGTTTATCGGGTCCTCTGCAGTAGACACGGTTGACCCGCTCTATGTCAGACTCACTCATGGAGCTCGCCATCCCGAACACGACCCCGTCTCGCAACGCTTCTATGGTGGGCAGGCCGTTCTTGGAGCTGCTCAGGCTGCACACAGAACAGTTGTATTTGTTAAAGGTGCATTGTGTAACTTTTCTGATGGAGCGTCCGTCATCATAAGCTTTTCTCCATGGAAATGCTGTTGCTTCATCTGAAATGTTTCACTGTATGGTATTAAACCTTTCTATCATCGTCATGGAGACCAAACCAGGCCAAACGGGACAGATCTGTGGCATTTTCTTGGTATTTTTGAGCTATAAAACCACCTGTAATTGAATAAATGTAAGGTAAAAGTGTTTAATATAAAATTGTGGAACATATGAATCAGAGCAATGACGGACACCCAACTGAAAAAGTGACATAGTGCACCTTTAAATTAGAAAAATAACGAGAAGGATTGAAAGAAAAGCATTCATTATTGTGTTTTGTCACTAGGGCTGGGTATCTTTCAGAAATTGTCGATACGATACATACCTCGATACATAGGCCACGATACGATACATATCTCGATACAGTGCACTTTCGATTCAGTACAATTCAATAAAAAATAAAGACTAAATCATGGCTTTGTTAAACCACTTCTTGTGCAAAGTTCATATGAAACACAAACATTTTAATCATCAAAAATGTGAAAATGTCAAATGTGTCGCATAAATGAGTTTCCTTCCACTAAACAAGCGACAAAACTGTAGCTGTAACAAAATAATTTTGTAAAATATACCCAAAAATACTCTTGCCGATATATCGATACAGCAGACCTCGATATCGAAAAGTTTGGACTCACTCTCTCATTTATTTATTTTTGTTTTCTATGTTTATCACTTTCTACATTTTATATACATACAGAAAATATATGAAGTCAGATATATGGAATTATGTACCAATGAAAAAAAAAGTTAAGTCCACAATTTTTTTTATATAGATACATATTTTATAACCAAATCGGCAAATTAACCACACTTTGCTTTGCCGAAAAATTGTTATTTCACTTTTTTATTTACTAAATAATTCCATACATCTTGCTTTATATATTTGATGTCCTCCATGTGTATCTAAAATGTAGAAAGTAGTATGGAAAAAAAAGAAAAACATTGACTGAAAGGGTGAGTCCGAACTCTTGACTGGTGCATTTTATTCATTTTAGATACAGAAGAGAACAAATAATGAAGTAAGATACATTGATGAATTATTTATTAAAGAAATAAATCTACTAAATATTATTCAACAAAGCAAAAGGTGGGAGGATGTGGTTATAAATATATATATATACAAAAAACAAACAAACGAACATTTAAATGCAGATAGACTGACCTGTTGTAGTGCATGATGGAGTTGTAATCATATGGAGTGATTTGGTTCAGACTGGGCCTCTTCTTAAATTCACCTTTGTCACCTGTAAAACATGAACACACCTATGTACAATAACAGGCAAGAAAAGCAGAGAAAATTACAAAAAGTATGATAAAAGTAGTGTTACAGGACATAAAATACTCCATTGACCAATCACAGAGGTTCAAAAGTGGATGGTTTTTATGTTAGTGAATGTGATGAGACCACTAAGCATTACTTAAAGGAACAGTCCGGAATTTTGGACATAGGACCTAATTTCCTAGTGAGCCAGAGTGTTGGAGATGTGTGGAGCCACTTTTTTTTTAAATATTCCATCCAGTCCTTGTATTTGCAGAGGTCGCTGGTGCTAAGCTAGTGCATGTCAATGGCCATAGTTATCCTGCCGCTAAAAACAGTCTTACCCACTCAACAAAACACCCGAGGCAAAACTATTATTACTCCAGACTGTCGATGTGAATGTCTGTGTTGATAGAATAATTTTAGAAGTAAAACCAACCTTGCATTTGAAGGATTTATTTCTGAGCCTCAACAGTGATATGTACTTCCTGATAGAAAGTTCGGCAGAGGCGGACTGATATATGAGAAAATAGTCCCTCAACATGCGACAATTCATGCGATGCAAGGTTAGTTTTATTTCAAACATTATTCTATCAACACAGACATTCATATTGTGGCCTAGTATTACACTGTTATCTGAGTTCTGTTTTAATGTTGTTTAGTCTTCAAAAACAGACCTGGAGTTGTGTTTTGTTACATTTACACATGTTCAACACACAAACCCTGCATATTTAGGCTGAGTTCTTCTCTCAGACAGAGAACAGTCTGCTCCACTGTGTTTTTAAACCCCATACGCCTTCACTAGAATCATTCTAACTTACATTTGCACAGTTACAGGTGGTTTACTGCTCAAAAATAACTAAAAAAGCAGGCATTCTGACTGTGAGCGGGGGTGCCTCTCCACAGATCTGACCTGTAACTTGGTCTGGTTTGCTCTCCATGAAGATAGAAAGGTTTAATACCAGACTGTGAAACATTCCAGACAAAGCAATAACATCTCCATGAAGAAAAGCATTTGATGGAACCTCCAAAAGTTACACAATGCACCTTTAAATATCAAATCTGTCAAATGCACTTTAATAGGTCCTGGTCACGTTGCAAATCTTACGAGGTCTGATGTTGTCCCAGAGCACCCTGATGTAGGGGTCTCGGTCCCATCGGTTGTGTTCGTGGTGGAAGCCCAAAGCGTGGAGCAGCTCGTGGTGAATGGTGCCCACTTCAAAACACTCGGGATACTTCAGGTCCAGAGGCTGAAGACCTCCCTGACGTCCAACCAGCGACCTACACCTGCGGATCAGAGAAAGAGAAAACTATTTAAATTACTATGATTATCTGCTCTTTGTGATTTTAAAGGTGCGCTGCGTAACTTTCCGGTTCGGGGTCGGTCACATATTACTCATTACTCTGCCAAGAATGTTCCACAGTATGACATTAAACAGCTCTACTTTATATTTATTTAATTACAGTTACTAAGTTTATTAAGCCAAGTTTAAAGCTCAAAAATACCTAGAAAAACAGACATTCTGACGGTGAGTGGAGTCGCCTCTCCACAGATCTCGACTCTCGTCTCCACAGAATAATTGAAAAAATGGATAACAGCTATTTTCCGTTTCTGTGACTTAAACAATGCAATGCCGAACAAAACCAGGGCTGAACCAGCGCTGAACCAGGACTAAACCAGGGCTGAACTAGGGCTGAACCAGGACTAAACCAGGACTAAACCAGGGCTGAACCAGGACTAAACCAGGGCTGAACCAGGGCTGAACCAGGACTAAACCAGGGCTGAACCAGGGCTGAACCAGGGCTGAACCAGGGCTGAACCAGGACTAAACCAGGGCTGAACTAGGGCTGAACCAGGACTAAACCAGGGCTGAACTAGGGCTGAACCAGGACTAAACCAGGGCTGAAACTAGGGCTGAACCAGGACTAACCAGGGCTGAACTAGGGCTGAACCAGGACTAAACCAGGGCTGAACCAGGACTAAACTGAACCAGGGCTGAACCAGGACTAAACCAGGGCTGAACTAACAGGGCTGAACCAGGACTAAACCAGGGCTGAACCAGGACTAAAACCAGGGCTGAACCAGGAACCAGGACTAAACCAGGGCTGAACCAGGGCTGAACCAGGACTAAACCAGGGCTGAACTAGGGCTGAACCAGGACTAAACCAGGGCTGAACCAGGACTAAAACTCGTCTCAGTTGTGGTCTGGTCCTGGTCTCAGTCCTGATCACCCAACAGTCTACGTGGGTCCGTCCAAACACTCAGTCCTGGTTCAGGCCTGATTTAGACATGGTTTAGTCCTGGTTTAGTCCTGGTTCAGTCCGGCATTGCAGTTTAAGTCATGTAAAAGGGAAACGGCGGTTATGAATTTTTTCCTTTATTCATTTAAAAACTAAATTGAAAACTGAAAAAGTAAATAGTTATCTGCTTTTTCACTTTGGTTTTGGAAACAAATAATAAAGAAAATTGTTTTTTTTTTTTTTTTTTCCTTTTCTTAGTTTGGGTTATTTTGAAAAACTAATGAACGAATGATACACAGATTAAAAAACAGACCTGGAGTTGTGTTTTGTTTCATTCACACATGTTTAACACACAAACCCTGCAGATTTAGGCTGAGTTCTTCTCTCAAAGTGAAAATACTCTGTACCACCTTGTGATGTCATGCAGTAATACAGGAAGTGCCCCAATATTATCTCTTATGTTAGAAGCAGTGTTGGGAAGGTTACTTTTAAAATGTAATCCCCTACAGATTACAGATTACACACCCCAAAATGTAGTTTGTAACGTAATCCATTAAATTACTTAAAGTGAGTAACGTAATCTGATTACTTTGGATTACTTGATATTGTCATGTTTTTTTTAAATGACATGAATGTAGCAACCACATCCTGAAAATTCTTGTTTGTTGTCTTCAAATTGTCTGAGCCCAAGTCTCCATGAATAAGCAACTGTTTACTGTAGAGAAACAAAGACCACGAGATCTTAATATAAGAGGTTTTGTCTGTTAAAAGACAGAAACAAGATCAGCCTTTCCTTCACCAGATTAAAAAATATTATTGATAGAGAAATTGTTTTTTATATGAGATCACCTTAAATTATGTCAACCTACTGTTAGGTGTCATGTTGTTTAGACCTGGTTTAGTCCTGGTTTAGTCCTGGTTTTTAGACCTGGTTTACTCCTGATTTCAGACCTGGTTTAGACCAGGTCTAGACCAGGTCTTTGGTTCTGGTTTAGTCGTGGTTTAGTCGTGGTTTAGTCCTGGATTAGTCCTGGTTTAGTCCTGGGTTAGTTCTGGTTTAGTCCTGGTGTTAGTCCTGGTTTAGAGGCGCACAGGAGGAAGTGCGGTTTACGCGAGAAAACACAGTCCACACGCGGCGCACGAGACGTCGGTGTCCGCGCTGTAACTACAGAAGGAGACGTGGTCCGCGGGTTCTCAGGTTGATGACGATGATGAAGGTGTTTGTGTGTGTGTGTGTGTGTTGTGTGTGTTTGTGTGTGTCCCTTCATGTGGCAGGTCATTATATGGACAGTGGTGCAGATATTATGAGTCTATGCAGGTTGTTTTCACCAGTGCCAGTAGCTCCTGGTTTCACATTTAAGTTGTAGGCGATTTTATATTTGTTTTTTTTTATATATATATCTCACATCGGGAGAAGAATTTCCAAGACACAAATGCGTTTTTACCAATGCACTGCTGCTTCCACTGTGTGACTGACACCGCCAACTTTAACATGACGTTTCCATCGCTCTTATTTGCGCGCGTTCTGTTTGGGCTTCAGGCAATGAGTGAAATTACCGAAATAAAAAAATAAATAAATGGGATGTAGCACAAAATGTGAAAACAGGAAAATACCGCCTTGTAATCCACTTATTTCAGCAAAGTAACTGTAATCCAATTACCACTCATTGAAACAGTAACTGTAACGGAATACAGTTACTCATAATTTGTACTCTGATTACGTAACGGCGGTACATGTAATCTGTTACTCCCCAACACTGGTTAGAAGTCACAAGAAATTTAAAAGAATGTATATAAGAGGCCCAATAAGCTTTAGATGAGGTACAGTTAGATGCCTTTAAAACATAAATCTTTATCCAATTATTAGTGCACAAACTTCACCAGAATAATTTCAGCTCTGCAGTTTGACATGACATCACAAGGTGGAGTGGAGCGTTTTGAGCTTTGGAGATGTAAACAGACTAATAATGCAGAATTACACAAACATGTGTGAATGAAACAAAACACAACTCCAGGTCTGTTTTTGAGGAGATAAAAACATTAAAACACGACTTTATGTTCATATGAGTCAATTTTACGTAAAAAAAAAAAAAAAAAGTGCATCTGTCTCATACCCAGAGGACGGCTGTATGTGCAGGTAGTCGCTCTCGTTGGTTCTGGCGATGAATCTGATGCAGGTTGATAAGTTGAAAAGAACCACAGCGACCGCGAACGCCGCCTTTGCATCGCTCGCTAAAAACACAGAGAAATCATGTTAAATCATTGTTAAAGGTTCAACTTTTCTCACTGTGAGAGGGTCTGTCGAAATACATTCAGCATCTGATATCTGCATTTCTGAGTACTATATTCATAAAAACTAAAAAATACTTTGTCAAAGTATTTAAACAGATTTCATATCACCAGATACAGTATAGCCAAGTGTACACCTGTTTTTACTGTTGTTCTGGTGCACCCAATACATTTTTTTCATTTAACTTATTACTAATTAGTTTATATATAATATAATAATATAATAATAAACTCTTCCTGTCAGTTTGTGTCCAGTATTTGTCATCTTGGTATTTTTCGAGTGCAGACTTTTTTCTGTATGATTCTGTTATACGTTTGGAAAAAGACTGAAATATTTTAAAGGACTGGCGGGCAACATCCAGTTTCAGGGCAATTTTGTTCATAATCGAGTATATCAGATAGTTTGTTCTATGCAGGACTCACACAGACGCTCAGTTCTATTCTCCCGAAGTCCGTCGCTATCGCTGTTTTCCACTTTATAATCAACTTCAACACATCACTTTGAAATCTATAAAATCACTTTCTCTAAACTTATCCTAAAATACGTCCGCTCTCATTATTTCTAAACTGTCGCCGCACCCATCTTCCATTGCACGTTTTTGTGTTGTTTTTTCCGGACTAGTCACTATTTCGATTAACTTCGGAAAAAATCGCGATATCTGTATTGTCAGTCTAGTGGGTTGTAGTGGCAGATCACCCCGAGCCCAATACAAAAGTCCATTTAAAGGTGCATTGTGTAACTTTTCTTGTGGAGGGTCTGTCAAATGCTTTTCTTCGTGGTGATGTTATTGCGTTGTCTGGAATGTTCCATAGTATATTAAACCTTTCTATGTTCATGGAGACCAAACCAGACCAAGTTACAGGTCAGATCTGTACAGAGGCGACCCCGCTCACAGTCAGAATGTTGTTTTTCTATGTATTTTTTGGCTATAAAACCACCTGTAATTGAATAAATATAAAGTTGAGCTGTTTAATGCCATACTGTGGAATATTCCAGGCAGAGCAATGACATATCCATAGAAATCAGAAGGTGAAAGACCCCCAAGTAAAAAGTGACATAGTGCAGCTGTAAGTATAATGTTAACCGGCTGAATCCTCTTTATTTACAAACTAAATTTAAACTAAAGCTGTCTTGGTATTAAAGGTGCACTGTGTAACTTTTCTTGTATGTGCATGTCTTTGTTTTACCTCGAATTCCACAGTGGGGCATTAAACTAGGGCTGTCGCAATAACCGCAAAAATGAATCACCACGGTACTAAGAGGTCCACCGCACGTGACCAACTTGACCTGACCTCGAGTGTGCCCATGATAACCAGGACTAACCCAGGACCAGTGTTGGGGAGTAACAGATTACATGTACCGCCATTACGTAATCAGAGTAACTGTATTTAATTACAGTTACTTTGCTGAAATAAGTGGATTACAAGGCGGTATTTTCCTGTTTTCACATTTTGTGCTACATCCCATTTATTTATTTTTTTATTTCTGTAATTCCACTCATTGCCGGAAACCCACACAGCGATAAGAGCGATGTAAAGGTCATGTTAACGTTGAATGAACAATGAATGAGGTTGAAGAGCCAGTAGAACAGAGCAGCAGTGCACAGGTAAAAACACATTTGTGTCTTGGAAATTCTTCTCCCGACGTGAGATATAAAAGAAAATAACAAATATAAAATCGCCTACAATTTAAATGTCAAACCGGAGCTACTGGCACTGGTGAAAACAAACTGCATAGGCTCATGAAATCTGCACTACTGTCATATAGTGACCTGCCACATGAGGGGACACACACACACACAACACACACACACACACACACACACACAAACACACACCTTCATCATCGTCATTAACCTGAGAACGCGCGGACCACGTCTCCTTCCGTAGTTACTGTACGGACACAGACGTGCTCCCGTGCGCCTCATGTGGACTGTGTTTTCTTGCGTACGCTGCATAAACCGCCCTTCCTCCTGTGCACCTCTAAACCAAAACTAACACCAGGACTAAAACCAGGACTAACCCAGTCCAGGACTAAAGCAGGTCTAAACCAGGTCTAAACCAGGTCTAAACAATATGACACCTAACAGTAGGTTGGACATAATTTAAGGTGATCTCATATAAAAATTATTTCTCTATCAATAATATTTTTAGTATGGTGAAGGACAGACTGGGCTTTTTATTGTCTTTAAACAGACAAAACATCTTATGTTAACATATCCTGGTCTTTGTTTCTCTAAGGCAAACAGTTTCTTATTCATGGAGACTTTGGCTCAACAGACAATTTGAACAGAACAAACAAGAATTTTCAGGATGTGGTTGTTACATTCATGTAGTTTTAAAAAACATGACAATATCAAGTAATCCAAAGTATTCAGATTACGTTACTCACTTTAAGTAATTTAATGGATTACATCACAAACTACATTTTGGGGTATGTAATCTGTAATCTGTAGGGGAATACATTTTAAAAGTCACCTTCCCAACACTGCCCAGGACTAACCCAGGACTAACCCAGGACTAACTCAGGACTAACCCAGGACTAACTCAGGACTAACTCAAGAAAAACCCAGGACTAACTCAGGACTAACTCAGGACTAACCCAGGACTAACTCAGGACTAACTCAAGAAAAACCCAGGACTAACTCAGGACTAACTCAGGACTAACCCAGGACTAACTCAAGAAAAACCCAGGACTAACTCAGGACTAACTCAGGACTAACTCAGGACTAACTCAGGACTAACTCAGGAAAAACCCAGGACTAACTCAGGACTAACTCAGGACTAACCCAGGACTAACTCAGGACTAACTCAGAAAAACCCAGGACTAACTCAGGACTAACTCAGGACTAACTAGGACTAACGGACTAACCAACTAACAGGACTAACTCAGGACTAACTCCAGGACTAACTCAGGACTAACTAACTCAGGACTAACTAACCCAGGACTAACTCAGGACTAACCCAGGACTAACAGGACTAACCCAGGACTAACAGGACTAACTCAGGACTAACTCAGGACTAACTCAGGACTAACCAGGACTAACCAGGACTAACTCAGGACTAACCAGGACTAACTCATGACTAACCCAGGACTAACTCAGGACTAACTCAGGACTAACCCAGGACTAACTCAGGACTAACTCAGGACTAACTAACCAGGACTAACTCAGGACTAACTAACTCAGGACTAACTCAGGACTAACCCAGGACTAACTCAAACTAACTAACCCAGGACTAACTCAGGACTAACTCAGGACTAACTCCAGGACTAACTCAGGACTAACTAACTAGGACTAACTCCAGGACTAACCCAGGACTAACTCAGGACTAACTCAGGACTAACCCAGGACTAACAGGACTAACCCAGGACTAACCCAGGACTAACTCAGGACTAACTCAGGACTAACCAGGACTAGGACTAACTCCAGGACTAACTCAGGACTAACCCAGGACTAACCCAGGACTAACCCAGGACTAACTCAGGACTAACTCAGGACTAACCCAGGACTAACTCAGGACTAACTCAGGACTAACCCAGGACTAACCCAGGACTAACTCAGGACTAACTCCAGGACTAACCAGGACTAACTCCAGGACTAACTCAGGATTAACTCAGGACTAACTAACAGGACTAACTCAGGACTAACCCAGGACTAACTCAGGACTAACTCAGGACTAACTCAGAACTAACAGGACTAACTCAGGACTAACACAGGACTAACTCAGAACTAACTCAGGACTAACCCAGGACTAACACAGGACTAACTCAGGACTAACTCAGGACTAACCAGGACTAACTCAGGACTAACCCAGGACTAACTCAGACTAACCAGGACTAACTAACTCAGGACTAACTCAGGACTAACTCAGGACTAACTCAGGACTAACTCAGGACTAACTCAGGACTAACTCAGGACTAACTCAGGACTAACAGGACTAACAGGACTACTCAGGACTAACAGGATTAACTCAGGACTAACTCAGGACTAACACAGGACTAACTCAGGACTAACTCAGATTAACTCAGGACTAACACAGGACTAACTCAGACTAACAGGACTAACCAGGACTAACTCAGGACTAACACAGGACTAACTCAGGACTAACTCAGGACTAACTCAGGACTAAGGTGCACCCGCGTAGACCGTCTGATGACCGCAGGCGAAAGGACCGGCATGTAGAGCTCTGCGCCCCACAGAGTTAAGTGCAGCCGTCGCCCGATTGCGCTGTTGCCGACACCCTGCTCCTCTGGTTCAAGGTTCTCTCTCTCTTAAGTCCGCAGGTACCTGACCTGGTCCAGGACTCTGAATCGAGCTGGAGAGATGCAGCGGCACTTGTTCCACAGCCAAGTGTTACTTCTCCCACGCTACATTCGCTCTATCCGTGTGATAACCAAAGTACACGTGCATCTGTACAATAAGCGCATCATCTGAGAGTTTTCAGTGGAAATATTATAACTCCAAGGGATGTGGGGAGGGGGTGTGATATCACCACATACTGCAGTGTTAAGCCGCTATATCACACCGCAGGAGAAATTCCCTAACCGTGACAGCCCTACATTAAACTTCATTAAACTTTTAACCCTCTCAGGCTCAAATTCATTTTTGGTATCAGGAAAAATCTGATATATATACCCCCCCCCCCCCCCCTATTTACTTATTTATTTATATATTTTTATTTTTTTGTATGCGTGTTTAGTTAAGTCTGTCTTGTTGTGGATGTGTTGGGTATTCAATCCCTTAAACTTGACAAATTATAAATAAAAAATTAAATTAAAAAAAATTTAAAATCTGATGATCATATGGGGTAGTAATATATAATCCTGACTTTTTTTTGAGAAAGACCTTCACATCCAATGCGTTCTGGGATGTTTTAGATTTGCAGATTTGGTCCGGTGTAGTAAATAAACACTGAAGATTGAAAATGATATGAACGCTAACTTTATTTGTATACCACTTTTCATAACAATGAAAACATAAAGCACAGTGTAACAGCTTTACACTGGCAGAACAACATCACTTTTTCGTGTGGTGCTCCAAGAAACAATTTTTATCCTTTGTAAACAACAAAAGTATTTTGCACTTCTGGAAGGCCGTTTGCGTGTAGCCGTTCTTGCACCGTCTGCATTGTCCATGTTTATCAGCATGGATGGGAGAAAAGGCTCCCGAGTAAAAAAGCTCATAAAGTATGGATGTGGAGTAAGTAGGTAATAGGCATTTAGCTGTTGCAAATCTGCAACGCCTGCCTGGAGAGGGTTAAATTTAAATTTCTATAAGGACAGGGACTGTCACCATACAGGTCAGATCTGTGGAGAAGTGACACCTCTCAGTTTAAAGGTCCTATATTACACGAACAGACTCTTGTGAGCTTTAAGTCAAGTTGTAATGTTGTTACCTCCTCAAAAACATACTCAAAGTTGTGTTTTGTTTCATTCACACATGTGCAAGTAATCCTTTATTATTAGTCTTCTTGTGGGAAAAAAATAATAATTACATATCTCTTGATAAATAATGAATCCATTAGCAAAGCCCAACGAGTTTTTGGAATATAGACCAAGGTTTATTCTTGTTACATCAGATATGGGCAGGGTCTCCTTACTCCATTTGACCCCGAGTATCTGCCCCAGAGCATTTGAGCTTTGAGTATTTATGCAGAAATACAAGTGACATACATATCAAAGCAGAGTGACTTTTGTTTCAGAGACTGGTGTTGATCAACTTAACATACATTTGAAGAACTCTAAGACAATACCCAGTTTCCTGTGGGTGGAGACAGTTGTGTCTGCTGAGCCTTTACACATGTTAATGATGCTCTGGTCTCAGGTAGAAATCACATTCATTTACACAAAGACAGATTAAGAGAAATCTTTCCACAGTATGAATTTCCATCACAAGTCTGTTTACATCTTCAAAGATCAAAGTTCTCTGCTCCAGGTTAATGTGATGACATGAAGTGGTAGTTTTCAAGTTAACAGCTCCTTTTACCTTTAATTCAGTGGAGAGTGGCAATTCCAGGGCTGAAATTATCCAAGTGATTCTAGTGAAGGTGTATGGAGTTCATAAACACAGCGGAGCACTTCCTCTTTTACCACATGACATCACAAGGTGGAACAGAGCGTTTTCCGTTTCAGACAAATCAGAACTCAGCCTAAATATGCCGTGTTTGTGCTTTAAACGTGTGTGAATGAAACAAAACACAACTCCATGTGTGTTTGTGATGAGGAAACAACATTAGTCGTTACATTAGAGTTTAGAAAATAGAGCAACATGAGCCCTTTAATGTGAAGTTTAATGTCATATTGTGGAATATTCTTGACGAACCATAACATCAGGTGGTGGAGTATCTAATCCGTGTATCATTCGTTCATTCATTTTTCAATATAAAACCAAAAATAATAAGAAAAAAAAAACGTTTTCTTCATTATTTGTCTCCAAAACCAAAATGAAAAAATGGATAATGATTCGGGGTTTTTTTTCAGTTTTTGATTTTGTGTTTAAATGAAAAATGAAAAATGGAAAAAATGGATAACGGCCGTTTCCCGTTTATGTGACTTCCGTGACTGCGATGCCGAACGTTTGCACCGCGTACGGACTGAACCAGGACTGATCCAGGTCCTGATCCAGGTCTGGGACCAGACCGGGACCAGACCGGGACCAGAGCGGGACCAGAGCGGGACCAGAGCGGGACAAGAGCGGGACAAGAGCGGACTCTGAGCTTTGACTCCGAGCCTCAGCTTCGAGCTCTGGCCCTGCCGTGGGCTCTGAACCTCCAGTCTGGTCCCGGCCTGGTCCTGGCCTCGGTCTCAGTCCCGGTCTCAGTCTCGATCTGGTCCCGGTCTGGTCCTGATCTGGTCCCGGTCTGGTCTCGGTCTGGTCCCAGTCTCAGTCCAGGTCTGGTCCCGGTCTCAGTTCCGGTCTCAGTCTCGGTCTGGTCCTGGACTTGGATCAGTCCTGGTTCAGTCCGTATGCAGTGCAAAAGTCCGACATCGCAGTCAGGGCTGTTATCCATTTTTTCCATTTTTCATTTAAACACAAAATCGAAAACTGAAAAAACGAATCATTATCTTTTTTTTTCATTTAGGTTTTGGAACAAATAATGAAGAAAACAGTTGTTTTTTGGTTTTATATTGAAAAACAAATGAACGAATGATACACAGATTGTATCTAACAACAATAACACATGAGTGGTTTGAATAAAATATGGGTTGAATAAAACAATAATGCTGCATATTTTTACTCACAAAAGCTGTTGTCCATCGCACAAGGCACGTACACGTTTCCATCACCGGACCTGGGCCATTTGCGGTTTATGTGTTTTGGAACTGGCACCGCACCACAGAGTCGCCTTGAGAGAATATCTAAAACACTTTCATCTGAACAACAAAAGATCTAGATTAAAACCTTAAAATAAAAGATCGCGTCTGTATTTTTTATCTTATTTCTGATCGTGCTTACCCAGTTTCTCACTCTGTTGATGTCTGGAGTATTTTAACATCTAAACAAAAAGTACACAAATCTTGAGTATAGTTCTTGAGCTGAGATGTATTTACTTTTGAGGAAATATGTGTCTTAAACTTGCCTCTAGTGTTATTAACAATGTGAACAGGACTACAGCACCCAGAATGCACTTCGCATACTTCATGGCAACAACGTCAGCAGCTGGAAAAGAGAGTGACAGGAATTTGTGCATTTCGACAAATTAAGATCAAAATTAGATAAAAATAAACAAAAAACTGAAAGACACGTTAAGATTAATCAGTTATATATTAAAATTTTAAAGCCATTTGTAATTTGTAAGTTGTAATTTTTTTCTGTCTTCAAAATTCTAACTCTGCGCCAACTTTCCTTTTTGACATTCTTCCCAAATTGTCCAAACTAAGTCTATACCAGATCTGAAAAGTGCTGTCAAAACTGTAGAAAATCAGATACTAAACTAAATATTGAAATCTATAAACAGTGTTGGGAAGGTGACTTTTAAAATGTATTCTCCTACAGATTACAGATTACATACCCCAAAATGTAGTTTGTAACAGAATTCATTAAATTACTTAAAATGAGTAACGTAATCTGAATACTTTGGATTACTTGATTTGCTGTAGAGAAGCAAAGACGAGGAAATCTCCACTTAAGATGTTTTGTTTGCTAAAAGACAATAAAAAAGCTCAAATTTACTCAACCAAATTAAAAAATATTGATAGAAGAAGAGGAGACACAATCCGCACGGCATGGTTTAGTCCTGTTAAATCCTGTTTTAGTCCTGGTTTAGTCCTGGTTTAGTCCTGTTATCCTGTTTTAGTCCTGGTTTAGTCCTGGTTTAGTCCTGTTAAATCCTGTTTTAGTCCTGGTTTAGTCCTGTTTTTAGACCTGGTTTAGTCCTGGTTTAGTCCTGGTTTAGTCCTGGTTTAGTCCTGGTTTAGTCCTGGTTTAGTCCTGTTAAATCCTGTTTTAGTCCTGGTTTTAGTCCTGTTTTAGACCTGGTTTAGTCCTGGTTTAGTCCTGGTTTAGTCCTGGTTTAGTCCTGGTTTAGTCCTGTTAAATCCTGTTTTAGTCCTGGTTTTAGTCCTGTTTTAGACCTGGTTTAGTCCTGGTTTAGTCCTGGTTTAGACCTGGTTTAGTCCTGTTAAATCCTGTTTTAGTCCTGGTTAGTCCTGGTTTAGACCTGGTTTAGTCCTGGTTTAGTCCTGGTTTAGTCCTGGTTTTACCTGGTTTAGTCCTGGTTAGTCCTGGTTTAGTCCTGGTTAGACCTGGTTTAGTCCTGTTAAATCCTGTTTTAGTCCTGGTTTAGTCCTGGTTTAGTCCTGGTTTAGACCTGGTTTAGTCCTGGTTTAGTCCTGGTTTAGTCCTGGTTTAGACCTGGTTTAGTCCTGGTTTAGTCCTGGTTTAGTCCTGGTTTAGAACCTGGTTTAGACCTGGTTTAGTCCTGGTTTAGTCCTGGTTTAGTCCTGGTTTAGTCCTGGTTTAGTCCTGGTTTAGTCCTGGTTTAGTCCTGGTTTAGTCCTGGTTTAGACCTGGTTTAGTCCTGGTTTAGTCCTGGTTTAGACCTGGTTTAGTCCTGTTAAATCCTGTTTTAGTCCTGGTTTAGTCCTGGTTTAGACCTGTTTAGTTCTGGTTTAGTCCTGGTTAGTCCTTTAATCCTGTTTTAGTCCTGGTTTAGTCCTGTTTTAGACCTGGTTTAGTCCTGGTTTAGTCCTGGTTTAGACCTGGTTTAGTCCTGTTAAATCCTGTTTTAGTCCTGGTTTAGTCCTGGTTTAGACCTGGTTTAGTTCTGGTTTAGTCCTGGGTTAGTCCTGGTTTAGTCCTGTTAAATCCTGTTTTAGTCCTGGTTTTAGTCCTGTTTTAGACCTGGTTTAGTCCTGGTTTAGTCCTGGTTTAGACCTGGTTTAGTCCTGGGTTAGTCCTGGGTTAGTCCTGGTTTAGACCTGGTTTAGTCCTGTTAAATCCTGTTTTAGTCCTGGTTTAGTCCTTAGAACTGAGACTGAGACCAGACCAGAACTGAGACCAGAACTGAGACTGGGACCAGACCAGGACTGAGTCCGGGACTGAGGCCGGAACCAGACCAGGACTGAAAACTGTTTAGTCCTGGGTTTAGTCCTGTTTCAGTCCTGGGTTTAGTCCTGTTTCAGTCCTGGGTTTAGTCTGTTTCAGTCCTGGGTTTAGTCCTGTTTCAGTCAGTCCTGTTTCAGTCCTGTTTCAGTCCTGGTTTAGTCCTGTTTTCAGTCCTGTTGGTTTCAGTCCTGTTTCAGTCCTGTTTAGTCCTGTTCAGTCCTGGGTTTAGTCTCCTGTTTCAGTCCTGGGTTTAGTCCTGTTTCAGTCCTGTTTCAGTCCTGTCAGTCCTGTTCAGTCCTGGGTTTAGTCCTGTTTCAGTCCTGGGTTTAGTCCAGTCCTGGGTTTAGTCCTGTTTCAGTCCTGGGTTTAGTCCTGTTTCAGTCCTGGGTTTAGTCCTGTTTCAGTCCTGTTTCAGTCCTGTTTCAGTCCTGTTTCAGTCCTGGTTTAGTCCTGTTTCAGTCCTGGGTTTAGTCCTGTTTCAGTCCTGGGTTTAGTCCTGTTTCAGTCCTGGGTTTAGTCCTGTTTCAGTCCTGGGTTTAGTCCTGTTTCAGTCAGAAGTTTGGTGTCGCAGTTTAAGTCACAGAAACAGGAAAAAGCCGTTATTCGTTTTTTTCCATTATTCATTAAACACAAAATCGAAAACTGAAAAAAAAAAAACGAATCATTATCTGTTTTTTTCATTTTGGTTTTGGAGACAAATAATGAAGAAAATTGTTGTGTTTTTTTCATTTTCTTATTTTTGGTTTTATATTGAAAAACGAATGAATGAATCTCTACTGAACTAAAGGTAAAACTTGTAGCCAACTCGGTCCGGGATAGTAATACCCATTCCCACCTTAAATAAACTGGTAATGATTAATAGGTTTGTATTAGGTAAGTTTTTCAGTTGAGTTTTTCAAAATTTTGAATTGGGTGTTTGGTTTGGTGATTGGATGGAACAGGTGCTAATTTTGCCTGTGACTATCGTTTGGTGCCAGTTATGTGTGACCGTTTGAGGTGCTCCAGGTGTGGTTTGTGTCCGGCCTGATCACCCGTTCACACTCCACCTTCTGAGCTTCTCTCATTTTCCAGATTCCTTGGGATGGGGCCTGGTTCCTCGTGCTCCTGGCCCGTCTCATTGGAGTAGTGGAACAGCTAACACTGCTGCTTGCCCTGGTAACTTATAGCCCTGACTCATGCTCTGACTTACCTTCCACCTTTCAGTCACCTGCTCCCCTAGTAAGTATAACATCCACTTTTATTATTATTTTTTTACAAAACTAGTTTGTAACTTAAGGGGGAGGGTGTTACGGCCCCAGGCCTTAGTTCCAATTTGTTGTGTGTGTTCTAAATAAGTCTGACACACCTGGATTCCTGCTGCAGGAGCCCTGGTCCGTGATTGGTGGGGCAGGTCGACGCCCACCTCACCTGCAGCCGCCTCCCCCTATTTAAGGAGATTACCAGCACCTGTTCGGGGCTGCTGGCCTTGGTGGCCAGTCTGCCATTTTGGTTTTCATGTATGTAGTTTAGTTTAGTTCTGTTTTGTGCCTTTTTTGATTTGGTCACTCGATTCTGTTTGTGGGTTTATGTGGTTTAATTTGGGGAACTTGTGTTTTGTAGTGAAATGAAGCTTCATGACGCATTGAAGCCTTTCATTCAATTGGTTAACTCTAGCACAAAGCTTCTTGAAGCTTCATTTGCTCTAGCAGGACGTCTACTGGACACAAAAATATCAGTTGACATGAATTTGAATTGTGTGGCATTTTGCAGAAAGCCTGTGAATAAAACTGTCAGCAAAATAAAGAAGTCGGCAAAACATGTATATTGTAGTGATGGCAGTGAACTGTGTATCTATATACAGTATGGAAAAATGATTATTTGAAAATTATGAAAATGGAAATCGCAGCAAAATCCGAACCACTTCCTGAATCAGTCACGTGGTACAGCCGGGCAGCGAGGCTTCGGACGTCATCATTTTCAGCTCCTCCCCTAAATGAACCAAGCCTTGATACGCGCATCGCGGAAACGCCCCCTCCTCTACTCGACACACGCTTCGAAGCCTTGATACGAAACGTCACATCACTAGTGTTTTGGTTTAGTGTGTGTCCCTAAATTTTACCACTCGTTTTTGTGTGAGCCTGCGTGACCCCTTTTCTGGCACAAAACTTTATTCTGTTGTTCTGTTTCTTAGTTTAGGTTGTTTTCTGTATATTTTTAGTCTTGTGTTAATTTACCTTTACATTCCTGTTAATTAAACATAATTTAATTTATTCCATTTTACATCTTGGTTTTATTTTTGTTACTTCCCTCACCCAAACGAGCTGGGTCGTAACACTAACTTAAACTACCACTACATGACATCATACAGTGGAACATTTTGAGTTTTGGAGATGTACAGACTAATAATAAAGTGTCAATGCAACAAAACTCAACTCCAGGTATGTTTTTGAGGAGTTAACAAAATTATAACATGGCTTAAAATTCCGTTTAATCTAAAATCTTTAATCACAATACCACGTCACAGAGCTCACATTCAAGAACAATATTTGGGACTCACCTACGAGAAGAAAGCTGGTCTCCTTCTCGGACCAAAGACACCTACATCCGCGCTCATGTAGAATCCTGCAAATAAGAGTGACAGTGTACTTTTGTGTCTGTGCTATAATCCTCAGAGAGTTTGAAAAGACTGAACCTCCCATAACAACAGGAGCCTATAGCCAAACAGCTCTGTTATTATATCCCTCAGGTTTCTCACTCAAACTGGTCCATCCTGTCAGAGCTGCTTTGTTGGACTGAAAAACCCTGTGTGGAATAAGAGCAATGTATTTAAAGGTGCATCGTGTAAGTTTACTGGTGTAGGGTTTGCTTCCGTGGAAATGGCTTTTGCTTTACCTGGAATTTTCTGCCGCAACGTATCTAGTTCCAAAAAGACAAACACGTGACGCCACAAGGCTGAGCTGCAGATCAGATTTGTGACGATTGGTGATAATGAGAGTGCGTGTTTTAAATGTATTTTTGAGCCATAAAAATGTATCCATTACTATTATGCTCTGCCTTTATTAAGGTTTTGCGTCTGCGTCACAAAACCACGTTAGTCCTGGTGTTTATGCCGCCATACTGGAGGTCAAACTATCCATCTGGACCAACATGTAGTATTTGTGTGCGATAACATTTCAATCAAACTTTATTTATAAAGCGCAAAGTGCTTTACAGTGATTAAAAACAATCCCACATTTCCTTCCACCCACCCACCAACCCAACCCCCACACCTGCCTGACCCCACACAACCAGACAACCCAAACACACACTCACACACTCTCTCACACACACACTAACACGGTAAAATACATAAAACGACACATAGTAAGATGTGAGGCTGAATACAGGCGAACCAGTTGATAAAGCACCATCAGAGGAGCCGTCTACACCAGGAGCAGAGAGTCGTCCACCACCACCAGGAACCACCACAGGGTCCAGGGGAGAGATGAAGCCCAAGCACCAACTCTCCACCAGGAGCCCATGGGACAGACCATGGATCTATTAAAATAACTGGATACAGTATTGCTGCTTGTAGCTGCCTCCAGTTGACGTAGTGTCACTCACTGGAACTTCAGCAGAAAAAGTCCCGTGGGCCGAGACAAGATTTTTATCATAGAGGCAATATAATCACAAACTGCTCGTGTTCGTCTGACAGGTCACCTACAGCTTTCAAAATTATCGGATTTGTTTTACCTATTTTTAGATCATAAACTTTTTCTCGCTCAAAATCCTTGAGTTGTCTTAAAAAAACGCTTTATAATCGTTAGCTTCGGCTACGCACTGCTCCGCTCTAGTTCCTCTCGCTCTGATTGGTCAAAGCGATCACGTGATACACGAGCCTGCGCTCCGTGTGTGTGGTCACATGCATTCGCGTGTGCCCGTGGGAGAAAAGAGCACTACTGCGCATGCTCGGTCGGCCCACGGCCACCGGAAGTACCTAGCCATGCTAGGCTAAGCTGGGATCATGCGCCATTGAGCTCAGCCCATTGACTTGAATGGACGGCCATTTTGGAACCTGGGGGCTTGGGACAGACCCAGCAGCCGCAGCCGACCTCCGCTCCTGATGCAGAGGCTCCTACAGAGGAAACACTGGAAATCCTAAAAATATGCCTAAAATAAATAAATATAATATATACGCTAGAAACAAGTAAAAGTATAAGATTTCAATCAAAAGCTAAACTAAAAAGGTGGGTCTTGAGCCTACTCTTAAAAACATGAACATTCTCTGCAGCCCTGAGCTCCTCCTGCAGACTGGTTTCCATAGACGGGGGCCGTAGTACTGAAAAGACGCCTCTCCATGAGTGTGTGTCCTGACTTTGAATTGAATAACAGTGGTTTTGACCTGTGTTGCTGTTGGATGTTCTGGCCAGAGTCAATCTGCTAAAGAAGGAGGCCGAAGTATCTTTCTGTCTGATCCTGGCTGATAAAGATCGCAGTCAGAGGTGGACAGCAGACATAAAAAGAGAGGGATGGGAGCCCACTGTGTACAATCGTCTGTGCGGTCAACATTTCATTTCTGGTGAGGGACCAGCTCCACACAAACAAAAAAAGGGAATTACAGTAAATGATATGATATATACCAAAAGTATTTTATTTTGTTTTTTTTTTTTTTTTTTTCTCGTAGGTATGAAGAATGATAACCCACTTTCACCAGATTACGTCCCATCATTATGTGGCAAGGTAGCTGATCGTGTGGTTTCTGCCGTCTGTAAAGGTCAGAGGGGAACCAGGTGACTTCCTGTTCCTGAGCAGGAATAATACACGGCTATTTCTGGTGAGCCAAACAAATGTAATGTTTGTACAATTTAATCTTGTTAGAAAACAAACTGGTAACTTTTGTAAATATAATTTTAAGGGTTTTAACAGTCCAGATCAGAGGTATGCTTTTAACTTTTATCTTATTGTTTAATTTTAATTGATGTATTTTATTAACCGCACTGTGCCGTTTTTGAGTTTTAGTTTGAGTTGATTGTCAGTTTGTTGCAGCTCTGCAGGGGGTGTGGGCTGGAGGTGTCTGGGTGTGGAGGGGGCTCACTTAGAGGGTGACCTTATTTATAGTTATTGGTGATGGTGGCACTTGTAATTGGGTGTTTTCAGTTGTGGTAACAGTTTTCTTTGTATTAATCTTGTTTGTTTTTCAATTATAGCATGTCTCCTTCACCCCAGCTTTAGAATGGAGCCTCACCCCTGCAGTAGTATCCTCACCTGTTAAAAGCACCTTTAACATGAATGTAAATACTGGTTTGCTTTGTTATTAAAGCTGCCTGTAAATTCCAGGTGTTACAGTTATTCACGTACATCCCATCGCCAGTGAAACACAAAGCAAAGTGTTTTCTTATTTCCTATGAAAGAAGATATAACATGAAGCAGATACTGGAGGTTGGACACAGAGCGAGNGTGTAATAAGGCCCTTTAATAATATCACCATGTTTGACACAACTGGACTGACTGGTGCGAAGCACTTTCTGCTACGTCAAACGTGTCATAGATGTAGCTGCCACGTCATCGTTGTAGCAGCTTTAGTTTGTTGTCTCATGTGAGGGTGGCAGAAATACACTGCAATTTGTTAAAAGAAAATGCTGAATCAATCTAAAAAACACTTGGGCAACATATACAAGGCCCACACATCACTCTTAGAAGGTAGAAAGCTCTGAAAAGTTGATTTTGCATGAGATGGGCCCTTTAACAGCCTGCAGCCTTAAAGCGACCTGCACGCACACAACAGAACACAACATCACACTCAGGGCTCTGTGTTCGCACAAGTAAAAAAATCCTCAGTTCTGAGTCGTGTCCTGGTGCGTTTACGGTCACCAGGTGGGTGACCTGTAGGTCGCATGAATGTGACATGAGTGTTCAGACTGCAGTCAGATCAGATACAGATCAGATTTATGACCACATACGAGTGAGGCCTGAGTCTGAACTGAGCTGTTCACACTGACATGAACAAATCAAATACAGGTCAAATATGGGTTTAAAAAAACAAATTTAGCCTTAGTGGACTGACCTTTCGTAGTGCATGACAGAGTTGTAGTCATACCGAGTGTCCAGGTTCACAGTGTTTTCTCTCTCGAAGTTGTGCTTGTTTCCTGTAAACACAATGTTACTTATTAACATTTCAAGTGACCTGTAGAGTTGAAGAGTATGTAACACTTCCTGTTTAGTTCTGACCTGTTTTGGTTCTAGGCCTTGAATAGTCCTAGTCCCAATTTAATTACAACTTTGATGTGAAGTGTGTACAAGTTTAAAAGTCTCGGTATTCAGCAGTTTTTTTTATTACACTTGACCAAAGCTGTTTTATTGTTCATCCTATATGAGATTATAAGATTCTACAGTAAAGGAAACCAAACGAGTCCAAGTAGGTCTGGAGATTAAATGTAATATGAACTTTATGCTGAATTTCCCCATCTGAGTGTGTGAAATTATCTGAAATCATCAGATCCTCACGAATGCCTTACAACTTTTAAAGAAACATGATCATTTTGAACCTACCTTCTTTGATATTTTGCCAGAGCACGTTGACATACTGGTCTCTGTCTGAGCGACTGTGTTCATGGCGGAAGCCCAGTGCGTGGAGCAGCTCGTGTTGGATTGTCCGAGTCCTCAAACATTTGGAAGCTTCAAGTTTAAGATCCTGAGCACCTCCCTGACGCCCAATTTTCGAAGAACAACTGTGTAAGAACAGAAATGAAAAGGATCAGTAAAATCCAGAAGTGATCTGCACAAATGATGATTTTTTTCAGAGTCCCATTGGGTCACAGCAGTCAGCAGGTTACAACTACATGTTTTGGGGATGACATTCAGTGTTATTTAAGTGACCTACTCTCTAAAATTCCGGATGTGCAGATAATCACGTTGATATCTTTTCTCAAGGAACCGAACACATGTATATTGGGAGATTGACGACATGGATGACACGATCAAGTTTTTCTGGTCAGTAGCTGAAAACATCAAAATTGTTTATATCTTTGTGAAATTTAAACTCTTTTCATACAAATCCTGTTTTGATCAGGTCTTTAGGTTTACTCACAGTAGCTGTCGTCAAGCACATAAGGCACATACACGTTTCCATCACAGTACCGGGGCCATTTACAATATGTGTACACACAGGGGTCTGCGTTTCTCTGAACGCGCCTGAACGCACCACTCTCACCATCTCCTGTCATAGTGTCTCCATCTGCACAAATACAAAAGCACACAAGATATTTAATGATTCTCTTATTTTAGCATTGATGTGATAATACCTGCTGTAAATATGAATTAGTTTTACACCAAGCACCAAGATTTTTAAGAAGTTTAGTAAAGTCTTAAATATAATCATCTGTCACTGGCATGTTAAAGGTGTAACTTTTGTGGAGGGGGACTAATTTTATCAAATGTGATGTGCCTGGAAAATTCCACACTTGGGCCTGTTTAGAACTCTTGCGGGTAAAAACGACATAATATTTATCAGAAGTGCCTTTTGTTTAGAGCAGAGCATTCAAACTCAGGCCCGGGGGCCAAATTTGGCCCGCGAGATCATATCAAATATGTATTAGAGCTGGCCCGCCAGTTACAGACTATAGAGACATTATTTACTTAAAATTTTGTTATTGTTTTATATTCTGCTTGTTCTGGATTCAATGTTTAAGCAAAACATTTATTTGAATAAGAAAAGGTTTAACATTACATATTTCCAAAGAAGAGAAAACATGCAGATGTTGTTGAAATTGTTCAATAAATATTTAGTTTGGCCCACGACTTAGTCCCAGTTTTTAATTTTGGCCTCTGTGAATTTGAGTCTGACCCCCCTGGTTTAGAAGGTGCCGATGTTTTTGGGGCTTAAAATCTCAAACATCTGAAACCAACCTCCAGAATGGAAAAGTTTAATACGCTCCGCCGTATGGTTTCCATCTACACTGCCCAAGACGCAAAACTCTGGTCAGATCTGCTCACGTCACGTACAGGTTTACGTCACATACATCACCACTTAGCCGCCTGGCATGCACACTCAATCAACTTCCACACACTTATGCGTCACCGTATGCACGCAGATTTCCTCCTGAAAACGCTCGTCTAAATGTGGATTAAAAAGTGAAGATGCGACGCCACTTTTGCGTTTCAGCCCGTCCTGACATTAAACTATCTATCACCATGGAGACAACACCACCAGGCCAAGTTACAGGTCAGACCTGAGGAAAAGCCACCCCTTCATATTAAGAATACATGTTTAGCAAAGTATTAAGCAACAATACACTCATGATATAAGATTAAAAACATTAAAAATATTGCAATTCTTGTCATGATTATTAACACATGAACCACTCACTTCCATCCACACCGACATTTGAGATTGGCACTCACCAGTCTCACTCAAAACGACCTAAACTGGAGACAATTCAGCTAAAATTCTGTTTCTATGGGACACTGGACTTTCAATCTCCAATGCTATAAAGTGTTGGCAAAACTTGTCAGAGGCCGTTCTTTAATTTCATAGAACAATAAGTTAAATAGTTATTACCCAAATCTTTGTTGGCCAGCTCCGATTTCTCAGACATCGTAAAGTCGGGCTGCTCAGCTGTAGAGTTTCTCAAAGCCTTATACAGAAAACAAGCAATATTCTTATTTTAAACATTTATTGAATTTCAACACCAAGAATTATCATCGTATTTTCTCAGAATCTGTCGGCATCTATAGATAAATTGTGTTTCTTCTTATGAATAATGAGTCTTACCACTGCTTCTGTCCATGTGTAGAAAGTGAACAGCAGGACTACAATACCCAGGATGCAATTGATGTTTGCCATGGCAACGGAAAATAAACTGCTGAAACACACACACGGTTAAATTGGCCGACTCCAGGTTTACTGCAGGTGTAAACATGCGACCACTAGTGGGACTAATAATGTTATTATGAAGAGTTCTGCTTCAGTTTTCTTCTGAAAGTGATCAGACTTACCCAGAAGTAAACCAGGACTAACCCAGGACTAAACCAGAACTAAACCAGGACTAAACCAGGACTAAATCAGGACTAAAGCAGAATTAACCCAGGACTAAACCTGGACTAACCCAGGACTAAACCAGATCTAATCCAGGACTAAAGCAGAACTAGAGTGAGACAAAACCAGGACTAAAGCAGAATTAAAAGCAATACTAAACCAGGACTAAGCCAGGATTAAACCAGAACTAAACCAGGACTAACCTACAACTGAACCAGGACTAAACCAGAACTAAAGCAAAACTAAACCAGGACTAAGCCTGGACTAAATCAGTTCTACACCAGAAATAAATTAGGCCTAAACCATAACTAAAGCAAGACTAAACCAGGATAAAGCCAGAATATAACTAAACCAGGACTAAACTAGGACTAAAGCAGAATTAAAACAATACTAAACCAGAACTAAACCAGGACTAAACCAAAACTAAGTCGAGGTCTGAGTGATGCTGACCTTGTGAGGCGCTGGTTGGGCGTCTGGTGGTTTGTGGTCGCCGAGGCAGTTGCTCTTTTATACTGAAGTGATGAAGTGAGGAAATTGCACAATCAAAAGTTTTAAATTTAATCTACGCTAAAAGTCCCTGTTTCTGTGGAAAAGCATTAATAAGGCTGGTACCAAAAAGTTGACTCAATAAAAAAATCATCTATTAGTCTGATAACACAATCATGTCTGCTACACTTATCTTGGCAAATGAGCCATAAATCTTTTGAAATTTTTGAAACTTCCCCTGTTTACTTAAGGTCTTAAATTAGACAAAATCCCTATATTCACATGATTTTTGTGAGCTTTTAGTCATGTTACAATGTTGTTACCTCATGAAAAACAGACCTGGAGTTGTGTTTTGTTTCCTTTGTCTACATCTCCAAAGCTCAAACTGCTCGGTTCCACCTTGTGATGTCATGAATTTTCAAGTTAATAGCTACAGTACCGGTCAAAAGTTTTAGAACACCACGCTTTTTCCAGGTTTTACTGTTTTCTGTTGACCAAAACGTACTCTAAACTTTTGATTCATGAAAGTGTCTACTAAACCAGGACTAATCCAAAACTGAACCAGGACTAAACCAGGACTAATCCAGGACTAAACCAGGACTAAACCAGGACTAACATGTGCCAGTGTAGACCGTTCAGTGACCGCAGGTGAAAGGACCGCCCCACGGAGTTAAGTGCGGCCATCGCCCGATTGTGCTTTTGCAGACACCCTGCTCCACTGGTTCAGGGTTCTCTTTCTCTTAAGTCCGCGAGTACCCGACCTGGTGCAGGACTCTGACCCGACCTGGTGCGGGACTCTGACCCGACCTGGTGCAGGACTCTGACCCGAACTATTCCACAACCCAGGAGGACGACTTTAGCTTTATACCTTTCTAATGACGGCTGTTCTAACGAGGTGGCGATTTTGGACAGTTTTATGTCGTTTGCGCTGTTTAAATTCACCGTGATTATATTGTAACTGAATAACACCATCCAGATCAACCCCAATCTTGACCTCCAGTATGGCTGCCAAACATTAAATCTCACAAATCCTCAATAATATGAAGTGTGAGAGAGATGTAGTGAAATGTATGTATGTGTATGGATATATGTATATATATGTATGTATGTATGTGCATGGATTTGTATGTGTGTACAGTCGTCCCTCACTATAACATGGTTCACTCTTCGCGGTCTCACTGTTTTGTTGATTTTTTTGTGCAGTTTTGCATGCTTTTTTACAGTGTATGAAAGTGTATTGTGTATTGTCCCCTCAAATAGTTGCTGAAACCAAGAGTTAAGAGAGAGAACCGTGAGCCCACGCAGTAGGGAGTCTGTAAAGCACGATTGGGCTACGGCCGTGTTTACCTCCATGAGGTGCGGAGCTGAGCCGGTCCTTTCTCCTGCGGTCACCTCCGAGCCTGTCCCGACAGTGAGTCCTGTTTCAGTCCTGTTTTAGTCCTGGTTTACTCCTGTTTTACTCCTGTTTCAGTCCTAGTTCAGTCCTCCTGTTCAGTCCTGGAATCAGTCCTGGCTTAGTCCTGGGTTAGTCTTGGTTTAGTCTTGGTTCAGTCCGTGGCGTATGCAGCACAAAAGTTTGATATAATCTCAGGTTAAAGAGTGGGGGCGGTGCTGTACTGCGCAGGTGTGGGTCTCCAAAAATTGACCTGTGCAGGACTCTGAGCTCTAGGGCTCCATTACGGAATAAATTAATATTCGATTTGTTACAAAAAAAGGAAAAAAATAACATAAGGACGAAAGCAGAAATAAGTTTTTAGAAGGATGCAAAAAGGGTTGCACCTGTCCTGTCTGAGAAAAGTGTGTAAAGTGTGTGGTGACGGGTTTTACAGCCTTAAAACAGATATAATAATTATAAAAATATAAAGTAAAATATAAAGTTGACTACTTTGCGTTTTTCACGTATTGCGGGTTATTTTTAGAACGTAACCCCTGTGATAAATGAGGGACCTCTGTATATATATGTGTATGTGCTTATATGTATGTGTGTGGGTGCACACATGCATGTGCATTTATGGGTGGGTGCATGTGTATGTATATATGGATATGTGCGTGTATATGGCTAAAGTGACATCGAACATCTCTAATGAAATGAAATGACTTTAAGAAAAATTAAATAAAATAATCCATAAAGTTAAGTCAAGTATTTTATAAATATTTTAGTTTTGGCTTCTTTCTTATTTCTCATAACACTTCAGTGCACATTGATAATAAGATGGTGTTTGGGCTCAAAGATGTAAAAGACATAAGATTCTTGCTGTGACTCTAAACATTTTTCACTGAGGTGCATGCTGCATAGTTCTCTGCAGAATATGACAGAGTGAGAATAAAAAGTGGTCTTGACTCAAAATGTTTCTTTGTGGTGTTTTATTTTGCAAAAGAGAGGTAACACAGTGGATGTAACAGTGCAAAAAAACAAAACAAAAAAATCATCACACCATGATTAAAAGCTCTTGAAAGTTGATTTAGCCTAAAATGTTACATGGTAGTTTTTTTTAGAACTCAATATAATCTATATCAATAAAGCTGAGTTTGTGGTGAGAGCAGTAAAGATCCGTCCAGGACTAAACCAGGACTAAGCCAGAAATAAACCAGGACTAAACCAGGACTAAGTCGAGGTCTGAGTGATGCTGACCTTGTGAGGCGCTGGTTGGGCGTCTGGTGGTTTGTGGTCACCAAGGCAGTGAAGTGATAACACAACAAAGGAAATTGCACAATCAAAAATTTAAATTTAATCTACGCTAAAAGTCCCTGTTTCTGTGGAAAAGCATTAATAAGGCTGGTACCAAAAAGTTGACTCAATAAAAAAATCATCTATTAGTCTGATAACACAATCATGTCTGCTACACTTATCTTGGCAAATGAGCCATAAATCTTTTAGAAATTTTTGAAACTTCCCCTGTTGACTTAAGGTCTTAAATTAGACAAAATCCCTACACTACATGATTCTTATGTTATAATGTTGTTACCTCATAAAAAATAAACCTGGAGTTGTGTTTTATTTCATTGACACGTGTTTGAGTAAACCTTTGTCTACATCTCCAAAGCTCAAAATGCTCGGTTCCACCTTGTGATGTCATGAATTTTCAAGTTAATAGCTACACTACCGGTCAAAAGTTTTTACCAGTTTTTACTGTTTTACTGTTGACCAAAACGAAACTGTCCACCTTTGGCAGATACAACAGCTGAAAACACTCACGACTACCAGGACTAATCCAGGACTAAACCAGGACTAAACCAGAGCTGAACCAGGACTAAACCAGGACTAAACCAGAACTAAACCAGCACTAAAGCAAGACTAAACCAGGGCTAAAACAGGACTAAATTAGGACTAAACCAGGACTAACCCTGAATTGAACCATGACTAAACCAGAACTAAACCAGGACTAAACCAGGACTAAACCAGGACTAAACCAGGTCTAAACCAGGACTAAACCAGGACTGAACCAGGACTAAACTGGGACCAGGACTAACCCAGAAATTAAACCAGAACTAAACCAGGACTAAAGAAGAGCTAAACCAAGACTAAACCAGAACTAAACCAAAACTAAAAAAGGACTAAAACAAAACTAAAGCAAGACTAAACCAGGACTGAACCAGAACTGAACCAGGACTAAACCAGTACTAAACCAGAACTAAAGCAGGACTAAACCAGGACTAAACCAGAACTAAACCAAGACTAAACCAGGTCTAAACCAGGACTAAACCAGAACTAAACCAGGACTAAAACCAGAACTAAACCAGGACTAAACCAGAACTAAACCAAGACTAAACCAGGACTAAACCAGAACTAAACCAGAACTGAACCAGGACTAAACCAGGACTAAACCAGAAGTGTGAATGAAACAAAAAACAACTCCGGGTCTGTTTGTGATGACAAAACAACATTATAACTTAGGCTGTATCAAAAAATAACATAATATGAGCTGTTTAATTACGTCAAAAGCAAAGTAGTTTATATTGCTTCTACTTTTCTTTAAATGAAGGTTTGTTGTTTCAGATCTCTGTCCCACTGTTGTTTCAGTCCTACAAAACCCTTCCAGACCCTACAAGACCTGTCCTGGTTTAGTTGACACATCCAAGATCTGTTTTCCAGAGGTTATTTTTAGCTTGACAACATCTGAAAGAAAATCGACATTTATCCCACAATGTGCCCGGTCATTTGTGCGAACACTTTTGAGACGCGCTGGATTCCTTCACTCTAACCCCAACTTCTCTTTGTCCACTTTTATAATGTGCTTTTCTATTGATATCGGCCACTCTTTTGTCCTCCTTTGTCCCGCACTAACGCCCGCGACCTCTCTCGACCCCTGCTAACTCGCCACATTGTCGCGCTATGGACTGTGGTGAACTTTGACCCCGGAGGTGCTGGGGTCTCGGGGACTGACCAGTGGGAAAGTGGTGTTGTGGCGTTCAGATCGTGGTGAGAAGGATGAGGTCGAGGAGCACGGAGACGGCCCCCCTGCGCCCGAGCACAGGTTCTAATCCCGGGTCTCCTCTTTGTCTCAGCCACAATGAAGTGAATGTGAAGGAGACAGCACCCGACACCCAGCACCCAGCACCCGAGGGGGCTGAGGTCAGGTGGATGGTGGGTGTGGAGGGATAGAGAAAAAACTATAGACTGAGGGGGGTTGATACAATATAGGCTTGTATTTTTTACATTCTGTTTTTGTTCATGTTTTTAGTCATATGTATCATTCCTAGGGGTGTAACAATATCCAAGTCTCACAATACGATATCACCACAGTGTTTATTGTAATATCGTAGGAAAGCTTACAATATTACGATATTAATTAATTAATTAATCATTGCATTTATATAGCACCATTCAAGATACCCAATGGACTTTAAGGTTCATTGTTCATTCACTCCACATTCAGTGGTGGTAAGATACTACTGCACCACAGCTGCCCTGGGGCAGACTGACGGAAGCACGACTGCCATGCCAATTGGCGCCGACCACCACCATTACTCACTCACACACACCACTTCCATACCAGGCAATGTGGGTGAAGTGCCTTGCCTAAGGA